GCTGCTTGTAATCAGTCTGTGCAATCTTCTTGCAACAGCTTACCAAGTGGTCCACTGTTTCTTCAGCTTCTTTGCATAGGCGGCACTTACTGTCTGTTGCTGTCTTCTCAATTTTGACTTTGTATGCATTTGTCCTTAAGGCTTGGTCTTGTGCAGCCAGAATTAGTCCCTCGGTCTCTTTCTTCAATTTTCCTGCTCTTAGCCATTGCCAGGTTTTATTATTATCTGCTTTCCCAGCTATTTTTTTCATGTATTGGCCATGTAGTGCTTTGTCTTCCCATGCCTCTATTCTGTTCTTCATTTGGTCTTTCTTGTAGGCCAGTTTGGTCTCTCCAGTAGTTAGTAAGCCTTCCTGATATACTAATTTCAGTGCATCTTCATCATTGTTCTTCAGATATTCTTCCAAAGCCATTTTTTCTTCTTCAACCATCTGATGTACTTGTAGCATTCCACGCCCACCTATTTGCCTTGGTAGATAAAGTCTATCAATGTCACTGCGTGGATGAAGGGCATGATTCATTGTCATTATTTTTCTGGTCTGCCTATCCATTGCTTTTAGTTCTGCTTGAGTCCAGTCCACTATTCCAGCTGTGTACCTAATGACTGGGATTGCCCAGGTGTTGATTGCCTTTATGGTATTTCCTCCATTGAGTTTGGATTTTAAGATCTTCTTCACTCTCTTGATGTATTCACCTCTAATCTTTTTCTTGACTTCAGTGTGCTTGATGTTGTCAGCTTGAAGGATACCCAAGTATTTGTAGTACTCTTCCTCATCCAGACTCTTAATGTTATTTTCGTGGGGCATCTTGATTCCTTCAGTTTTCACTATTTTTCCTTGTTTGATAGTAAGTGTGGCACATTTGTCCAAGCCAAACTCCATTACAATATCTTGGCTATATATACGGACAGTGTTGAGCAGCGATTCTATTTCAGATGATGTTTTTCCATACAGCTTCAGATCATCCATATAAAGGAGGTGGGATAGTCTGGCAGATGTTTTTGATGTTTGATAGCCATGTCCTGAGTTATTCAGTATTGTTGACAGAGGAAACAGTGCAATAACAAATAGTAATGGTGATAATGAATCTCCTTGAAATATTCCTCTCTTGATATTAACCTCTCCCAGCCTCTCACCATTGATCTGCAACTGTGTCTTCCATTGTGCCATCGATCTTTGCACAAATTTTCTGATGTTTCTACTGACTCCTGTTATTTCTAGGCACTTTATTATCCAATCATGTGGCAGAGAGTCAAATGCCTTTTTGTAGTCAATCCATGCCACATTCAGGTTGGTCTTCCTTCTCTTGCAGTTTTCCAAGATCATTTTGTCTATTAGGAGTTGATCTTTTGTTCCTCTGCTATTGGGGCGGTTTCCTTTCTGCTCAGGTGGAAAGAGATTGTTTTCAACTAGATGCTGTTGTACTGCATCAGCTACCACACCAGTTAGTAATTTGAAAGTTGTTGGTAAGCAGGTAATTGGCCTGTAGTTACCTGGTGTTGCCCCTTTTGCTGGATTTTTCATTATTAGGTAGGTTTTCCCAGTTGTTAGCCACTTTTCAATTTCTCCTCCTTGTAGTATATTGTTGAACTGTTTGGCAATGAGTGGGTGTATAACAGTTAGATGTTTCAACCAAAACCCATGCAGTTCATCTTCACCTGGTGCTGACCAATTTTTGATTTTCTTTGCTCTTTTTTCTACCATTTTTGTTGTTATTACTAGTTCTTTCATTTCAACTTCTGTTTTATTTGCATCCACCTCTTTTAACCAAGCCGCATCCTTGTTGTATTTCTTTGGGTTATCCCATATCTGCTTCCAGAACTGCACTGTTTCTTGCTTGTCAGGTACTGACTGATTCCTTGCAGTTTCTCCATTGATGGATTGGTAGAAATGTTTCTGATTGGATGGAAATTGGAGGTTCTGCCTATAGTTTGCAATTTGAGCTTCATATCTACTGATTTTCCTGGCTATGGCTGTTATTTGTTGCTTTATTATTTCCAGTGCTTCCTTGATCTTCCTTGTTTCTAAGTGGTATTTCTTGATTAGGTATTATTTGGTCTTCTTGTTCTTCAGCTTCTTTTCTTTCATCTGTTCTAGCTTGCTTGCATGTGATCTTAACTTGCTCATCTTATTTTCTAGTGTAACCTTCCATTTTTCTGGTGCACTGTTTGTTTGTTTTTCTTCTTGTTGGTTTTGCACCCCAGGTATTCAGTTATAACTGCAGCTGTGCTATACATTAGTTGGTTTGTTTCTTGCAGTGAATTGGTGCTTATATTTGATATTGCAGTATTTGCATCTTTTAATGTTTGTGCTAGCTGTTTCTTTGGAACAAGCTTCAATGCAGGTAGCCTTATTCTGTTGTTTTTGTGCTGTTCTAGATGCTCAGTTATTCTTTGTTTCAATTCTTTTATTTCTTTAGTTAGAGGGTTTTGTTCTTCCTGAGGAAGAGGTGCCTGGTTTCCAAATGAGAACAGTTGTATATCTCTGCTGGATTCATTCACTGCCAACTCCCCCTGGTTTGCCTCTACATTCTGAATTACTTCTGGTAAGGCTTTGATTTCTTTGCCCTGGGTAAACCTTTGCAGTTCGTCCAATTCTGTTTCTGTGAATACTTTATTTCGTATTATAAATCGGCATTGATCTGCTAGTCTCTGTTTTGTTATTTCTGATTCTGGATGTTGTTCTTTCCAGAACTGGTGCATTCGTTTTAGATATCCTCTTCTTGTTGGACTTGATCTGTAGTAACAGATCATTATTTCTTTGTTTTCCATCACTGTGTATCTGAGACGGGTAAACACCTTTTCTTCCAGTAGTTCTGCAGCTGCTGGCCCTGGTTGCTCAGCCAACAGTCCTGAGTCCTGTAACCCATTTTTCACCAGATATCCAGGAACTCCAATATCTAGTGCGGATTATTATTATTATGGAACATCGCACAGTCAGCCAGATGTTCAGACTTGATTTGGCATTTTGTCTACCTATCAAGTCCTTACCCAGGACCTGGGATAGGCAGATGTGGATGTTTAATGGTATTACAGATATCGTCGTAGGATGGAAGCAGTTCCTAGTAAGGCCGCCTTTTGCAATTGACTAATAGCAAATTTGTCAATGCCAATGGTGTTCAAGTGGTGCTCCAGTTGTTTTGGGATTGCACCCAAGGAGCCTATCACTATTGGTACTTCCCTTGCTTGCTTTTGCCACAGTCTTTCTATTTCTATTTGTAGGTCTTTGTATTTTGTTATCTTCTCCAGTTCTTTCTCTTCTATTCTGCTATCTCCAGGCACTGCCACGTCCACTATCCAGACTTTTTTGTCTTTCTTATCGACAATTGTTAAGTCTGGGGTGTTATGTTGCAGGTGCGTGTCTGTTTGAATTTTGAAGTCCCAGAGCAGTTTAATTTTATCATTTTCTATGACTTTCTCTATTTTATGATCCCACCAGTTTTTGCTTACAGGCAAATGATATTTTTTGCAGATCTTCCAATGCACCATTGTTGCGACTTTGTCATGCCGCTGCTTGTAGTCAGTCTGTGCAATCTTCTTGCAACAGCTTACCAGGTGGTCCACTGTTTCTTCAGTTTCTTTGCATAGGTGGCACTTACTGTCTGTTGCTGTCTTCTCAATTTTGACTTTATATGCATTTGTCCTTAAGGCTTGGTCTTGAGCAGCTAGACTTAGTCCCTCGGTCTCTTTCTTCAATTTTCCTGCTCTTAGTCATTGCCAGGTCTTGTTATTATCTGCTTTCCCAGCTATTTTTTTCATGTATTGGCCATGTAGTGCTTTGTCTTCCCATGCCTCTATTCTGTTCTTCATTTGGTCTTTTTTGTAGGCCAGTTTGGTCTCTCCAGTAGTTAGTAAGCCTTCCTGATATACTAATTTCAGTGCATTTTCATCATTGTTCTTCAGATATTCTTCCAAAGCCATTTTTTCTTCTTCAACCATCTGATGTACTTGTAGCATTCCACGCCCACCTATTTGCCTTGGTAGATAAAGTCTGTCAATGTCACTGCGTGGATGAAGGGCATGATTCATTGTCATTATTTTTCTAGTCTACCCAAGTATTTGTAGTAATCTTCTTCATCCAGATTCTTAATGTTATTTTCGTGGGGCATCTTGATTCCTTCAGTTTTCATTATTTTTCCTTGTTTGATAGTAAGTGTGGCACATTTGTCCAAGCCAAACTCCATAGCAATATCTTGGCTATATATACAGATAGTGTTGAGCAGCAATTCTATTTCAGATGATGTTTTTCCATACAGCTTCAGATTATCCATGTAAAGGAGATGGGATAGTCTGGTAGATGTTTTTGATGTTTGATAGCCATGACCTGAGTTATTCAGTAGTGTTGACAGAGGAAACTCCTGTTATTTCTAGGCACTTGATTATCCAGTCATATTATTATTATTAATATTATCCTTAGCTCTAGGTTGCTTCTCTCCTTGATTAATTTCCATCCGTTGCGTCTTGTCCTGCCTTCAGGTGCTTTGGAAAATAGCTTGACTCCCTCTTCTTTGTGGCAGCCCTTGAGATATTGGAACACTGCTATCATGTCACACTTCGTCCTTCTCTTCATTAAACTAGACATACCTAATTCTAGCAACCATTCCTCATATGTTTTAGCCTCCAGTCCCCTGATCATGTTTGTTGCTCTTCTCTGTACTAGAGTCTCAACATCTTTTTTACATTGTGATGACCAAATCTGTGTGCAACATTCCAAGGGTGGCCTTACCAAGGCATTGTAAATTAGTGGTAACACTTCACTTGATCTTGATTCTATCCCTCTGTTAATGCAGCCTAGCACTGTGTTGGCTTTTTTGGTAGCTGCAGCACACTGCTGGCTCATATTTAAGTGATTGTCCACTAGGACTCCGAGATCCCTCTCACAGTTGCTACTATTGAGCATGGTACCACCTATACTATACCTGTGCATTTTGTTTTTCTTGCCTCAATGTAGAACATTACTTTGAAGCATTTAAATTATAAACAAAATATAATATCTCACTTACTCATGTTTTGAATCAGCATCACAGTTGCAATTGTATTTTGAATCAGTACAGTTACGTTCAATGCCACAGGCACACTTCTGAATGCCTGGTCCAGAGCCACCCCAGTAGTAGTGCTTTTCATTGGCACGCCCAATCCACCAGGTATATGGATTGCCATCTGCAAAGATAAGAAATGGAAAATTAAATGCAGCAGAGTTTCATGATCTGAAACAAGGAGGTTTTTATTTTATTTCATGAGTTATTTAGTTTTTCTTGAAAAGAAGTGCATTAATCAAACATGATTAGATAATCTGCTTCAACCAAAGCATATAAAGTCACTAAAAGAAAGTGTTTTAAATATACTACACCCGAATCCTTGTAATCTAATTGATACTTTGTTATCAGTGACAGCAGCAGGAGAAATATTGCACATTATTAAGCAGTCCACAGTTAAGTAGTCATTATACAGCGCATTCAGAAAGTATTCAGATTTCCTCCATTTTGATCAATTTTGTTATGCTGCAGCCTGATTTTACAGTTTTTGAAATTCATTTTTTTTCTTCAGCTTATTTAAAGGACCATACACAAGAAAAATTTATTATAGTGTGGAGAAGGTGGATAGATAATAATAATAATAATAATAATAATAATAATAATAATAATAGTAGTAGTAGTAGTAGTAGTAGTAGTAGTAGTAGTAGTAGTAAAGTTGGAAGGGACCTTGGAGGTCATCTAGTCCAACCCCCTGCTCGGGCAGGAAACCCTACACCATTTCAGACAAATGGCTGTCCAGTCTCTTCTTAAAAACTTCTAGTGTTGGAGCATTTACTGCTTCTGGAGGCAAGCTGTTCCACTGATTAATTGTTCTCACTGTCAGGAAGTTTCTCCTTAGTTCTAGGTTGCTTCTCTCCTTGATTAGTTTCCACCCGTTGCTTCTTGTCCTGCCTTCAGGTGCTTTGGAGAATAGCTTAATTCCTCTTCTTTATGGCAGCCCCTGAGATATTGGAATACTGCTATCATGTCCCCCCTTGTCCTTCTCTTCGTTAAACTAGACATACCCAATTCTAGCAACCGTTCCTTATATGTTTTAGCCTCCAGTTCCCTAATCATCTTTGTTGCTCTTCTCTGTACTCTTTCTAGAGTCTCAACATCTTTTTTACATCGTGGTGACCAAAACTGGATGCAGTATTCTAAGTGTGGCCTTACCAAGGCATTGAAGAGTGGTATTAATACTTCACGTGATCTTGATTCTATCCCTCTGTTAATGCAGCCTAGCACTGTGTTGGCCTTTTTGGCAGATGCAGCACACTGCTGGCTCATATTTAAGTGATTGTCTACTAGGACTCCGAGGTCCCTCTCACAGTTACTACTATTGAGCATGGTGCCACCTATGCTGTACTTGTGCATTTGGTTTTTCTTGCCTAAATTATATTCAGAATAAATACGGACCTTTAAAGTTCCATTTATTTTATGATTATTTTTTTCTTGAGGTTATAGTTACTATTTATAAATTTTTATAATATTTGATTTATAGTAGATTTGTTTATGTTGTTGTTGTTATTATTATTATTATTATTATTATTATTATTATTATTATTATTATTACTATAGTTTAGAGAGAGTTAAGGGTAATGTATGAATTTGTTTATTGTATAGATTTTTTTTTGTTGTTTTTTTGTGTTTGTTTTGTTTATAATAACCCTGTATTTTGCTCTGGGAAGTGGGGAGGGGTAGGGTGGAGGGGTGGGGTGGGATTAAGTATATATAGAAATATTAAAGTATGAAATAGATGGAGTAATTTAGAGGGAGGTGCCGTTTGGGTGTTTCCCCTCAACTGTATCCGAAGAGGGATAAGAGGGGAGGCGGAGGGAAGGAAGGAAGGGGTGAGGGGAGAGAGGAGAGGAGAGGAGAGAAGAGGAGAGGAGAGAGGGAGTAGGGAAGTAAGGAAGGAAGGTTGAGAGGGCGGATGCAGTCGGGGGGAGATAGACAAGCGACACCTAAGGTCTTATTTTAAAGGTATTTTTCTCTTTTTTTCGTTTTATATATAATGTATGGAAAGTATTATATGTAAAATTCAAATAATTTTAAAAAAAAGAAATTCATTTTTTTCTGATTAATCTACACTCTGCATCCCATAATGTAAAGTGAAAAGAGAAATGTAGAAATGTCTGTAAATTTATTAAAAAAACCCCTGAAATATCACATTGGCATAAGCATTTAGACCCCTTGCAACTACACTTGAAATTTAGTTCAGGTGCCTCCATTTCTCTTGATTGTTGCTGACATGTTTCTATATCTTGACTGGAGTCAACCTATGGTAAATTAAACTGATTGAACATGATTTGGAAAGGCGCACATCTCTCTATAGAAGGTCTCACACCTGACAATGCATATTGTAGCACAGCAAAGGCCATGATGTCAAAGGAACTGTCTGCAGCATAACAAACAGGAGTATTGCAAGCCACAGATCTGGGGAAGACTGCAAAAAAATTCTGCTAAGAGCACAGTGGCCTCCATAATTCTGTCAACCCTCCGGCTGGCAAATTCAACATTAAAGAAACTCTTCGGCCTTGAGGTGCTATAAGAGATAATTTTTTATTGAATACTCATCTCGGTACTGAAGAAGTAATATCAACTCTAAGTTTCCCCTGTGAAGTTTTGGTTAGTTACTAATAGCTTTTCATAATCCCCACCCACCATGTGTTCATGTTGGCCAATCACATTCTTTCTGTTTGTTATGGGAACGGTCCACTTCTCTAACCTGCTTTGGATGATCTTGGTTCTCACAATCCATGGATGGCTTCCTGAAACTCCCCTTTCTTTCCCAGACTCCTCTCCCCCGTTTCTATAGCACAGTGATGGCAAACCTTTAGAGACCGAGTGCCCTAACTGCAACCCAAAACCCACGTATGTATCGCCGGGTGCTGGGTGGGTGTGGCCCTCTTGGTAGGTGCAGCTACAGTGGGTGTGGCCACTGGATGGGTGTGGTTGCAGTAGTCATGGCAGACTGGGTGGGCATGCCCGGGGGGCGTGGCCACCTCGATGTTATTTATGAGGAGGGACACCTGTGGGAGCTGGACGGAGCAGGGTTGGGGGAGATCCAGGGGGTCTCTGGCAGGTGGGATGGTGGGCTCCCCAATGGCGGCTTCAGACTGGCTGGCCTGCTGAACGTTTAAAGACCACGTGTGCTGGGTGATGGCGCGTGCCCACAGAGAGGGCTCTGCGTGCCGCCTTTGGCACGCATGCCATAGGTTCGCCACCATTGCTATAGCACGTTGAACAGCTATAGAGGTTAGCAAGCATCTTAGCAATTCAACCTTGACATGCCAACCCCCCTGGGGAAAAAATAGACATAAGGAAACAATGAGTATACATATTCAAACATTCAGATATAATTACTTTGGACATTGCGGGGATTTGTCATAAAACTTCTGTATCAATCGATCAACTTTAACATCCTGGGCTTTCACCCAGCATCTGCTAAGGGATAGCCTCTCCAGAGGACTAGGCACTGTAACTTGAGTTTAGTATTTTTTTAATTTCATAATGCTTCTCCCTCCACTAGTATAGGAGGAGGGGATTCCTCTGCCTCTGGTCTTAAACTGGACTTTTTGAATGATTTCAATAAGCTGCAATGGAATACTGGGTAAACTTGCTTCAATTTTTTTGGTAACCATAACTCCATAGTTACTGGATTTATGACTTTCACAATTGGGAAAAATCCTGTGTACTTAGGACTCAATTTCTTGCAAGGCTGCCTTAGCTTAAGGCAGGGCTTTTCAACTTTTCATTGATTTCACTTTTCACTTTTAGGATATGGCAATATTCGAGTACCACCTAGCAAGGGGTCAAAAACTTGATGACAAAAAAAAAACTGTTCAAAGTTGCAATTGCACTGAAATGAGTTATGACCATTTTTCACACTTATGATCATTGCAGTATGCCCAGGTTATGTGATTTATATTTGGATGCTTGGCAACTGATTCATATTTATGAGGGTCACAGTGTCCCAGGGTCATGTGATCCTCTTTTGCAAGCTTTTGACAAGTAAAGTCAATGGCAGGGATTCTGATGGCCAAGTGCTAAGGCGGGACTTACTTCTCTCTCTCCCTCCTTCCCTGCCTCCCTCTTTCTCATTCCCATCTCCTTCTGAAGGAAGAATTTGAACCCCCCCCCCATATTTCCCCTCTTCCATATATTCATCAAACAAGGAAAAGCCTCCAGAGACAGAAAAGACAAGCCGCTGAGGGAACTAGCTTTAAAAGGCGCATTTCCCTTTAAGAAATAGCTACTGGTTAGAAAGGAAAGTTAAGGAGCCATCAGCCAGCACTTGAGGAAGAAAAAAATGTAGTAAGTACTGGCTACTGGCTAAGGCAGCCTCCCCAAATGGCTCTATTCATAAGTAAAGGAATGCTACAGGCAAAATTCATTCAGCAGAAAAATATTTCAAAATCCCTTGCAGCAAAACTTACAGCTAACAATAGCAGAGCAATAGAAGCTAACATGAAACCTTAGCCATCAGCCAAATAGAAATTGTCAAACTCTCCTTAAGAACACAAAGCCCACATTGCAGAAATTCCAGAACTTCAAAGTCACAAAAGCACATAAGAATCCTTCCACTCTCCATCTCCCTCTCTCCCTCCGTGCCTCATCTCCAGTCGATGCTGCCTTTCTTCATTGCTGTCTTTCTTCATTCCTCATGGAGGGCGACCCCTCCCCTGCCGCATTTCTTGCCTTTTTGTTGCTGCCAGCACAGGTAGCTGCCACAGAAATTGTAGATTGGCTCAGGGCCAGCCTGTTTGATCTCCTCTCCTCTCCCCCCACCTTCCTCCTTCTTCTTTCCCTTTGGTGCAGCTAGAGCTGACTCCACCTCCTCCCAAGGCTGCTTCCTTTTTCTTTCTCCTTCTCCTGCCAATACTGCCTCTTTTTATAGCCTCTCCTGTCTCCACCCCCTCCTCCTCCTTTCTCATCTGGGCGAGCCGGAAGTGAGCCTGGGGCCTTTGCCTTGCCCCAGCCACTCTGCAGCTCCAGAGGACACTCTCACAGTAAGTCCTGTGCTGTGTTGGCTCATTCCCTCCCCCACTACACTTGGCTGGGCAGGGCTGTGTACCACCTGCCACATGCTAATGTACCACAGGTGGTACACCTACCACCAGTTGAAAAACCCTGTCTTAAGGT